CACTCCCGGGGGGTTTGGGGTCACTCCCGGGGGGTTTGGGGTCACTCCAAGAGTTGGGGACACCCTCAGAACTGGGGACACCCCCGGGTTTGGGGTCACTCCCGGGGGTTTTGGGGTCACTCCCGGGGGTTTTGGGGACGCCACCGTGGCTGGGGACAGGAGTGCCGCGCTCTCCGCTGCCGTCCTCGCCGCCCCCCGCCGTGCCGGTGCCGGTGCCGGTGGCGGCGGTGGCGGCGCGGGGGCGGCCGCAGCTCCCGCTCCGGGCGGCTCCGGAGCCCCCCCCGGGGGTCGCCTCCCGGTACCGGGGCCGCTCCATCGCTGCGGGCTCAGGTCACGGCCATCCCTGGGGGACACACAGGGGACAGCGGGGTCAGCACCCCCGGCACCGGCACGGCGGAGAGCCCCGGAGGGACCCCTGAGCCGCCCCGGGACCCCCGAAATGGGCCCGAGACCCCCGAACCGAGCTCCGGCAACCCCCAGAACGGCTCCGGGACCCCCCAGAACGGCCCCGGGACCCCCAGGACGGCCCCGGGACCCCCCAAAATGGCTCCCGCTCCGGGCGGCTCCGGAGCCCCCCCCGGGGGTCGCCTCCCGGTACCGGGGCCGCTCCATCGCTGCGGGCTCAGGTCACGGCCATCCCTGGGGGACACACAGGGGACAGCGGGGTCAGCACCCCCGGCACCGGCACGGCGGAGAGCCCCGGAGGGACCCCTGAGCCGCCCCGGGACCCCCGAAATGGGCCCGAGACCCCCGAACCGAGCTCCGGCAACCCCCAGAACGGCTCCGGGACCCCCGAAATGGACACGGGACCCCTGAGCCGCACCGGGACCCCCAGAACGGCCCCGGGACCCCCCAAAATGGACACGGGACCCCTGAACCGAGCCCCGGGACCCCCCAAAATGGACCCGGGGACCCCCGAAATGGACACGGGACCCCTGAACCAAGCACCGGGACCCCCCAAAATGGACACGGGGACGCCCAGGATGGCCCCGGGACCCCCCAAAATGGACACGGGGACGCCCAGGATGGCCCCGGGACCCCCCAAAATGCACCCGGGGACCCCCAGGACGGCCCCGGGATACCTGAACCGAGCCCTGGGACGCCCAGAACGAATCCGAGACCCCCGAACCGAGCTCCGGGACCCCCCAAAATGGATCCGGGGACCCCTGAACCGAGCATCGGGACCCCCAGAACGGCCCCGGGACCCCCAAAAATGGAGCCGGGACCCCCAGAACGGCCCCGGGACGCCCCGAGTGGCTCCCGAGACCCGGGGATCCCCCGATCAACCCCCGCGACGGCCCCGGGAACCCCGAAATCCGGTCCCGGGGAACACCCTGACCCCCCCGGAATAGAACCGGGACCCCCGGAATAGAACCGGGACCCCCTGAACCGGGCCCGGGACCCCCAAACCGACCCCCGGGATCCCCTAAGCCGGCCCTGGGAGCCCCGGGCGCTCGGAGCGGCACTCGGAGCGCCGGTACCGGGGGGTTCGGGAGCGGCTCCGGGGGGTTCGGGACTCACCACGCCGGTCGGGGGGGGCGGGGGGGTCGCGCCGCCGCCCCCCCCGGGTCCCCTCACGGCCGCACTTCCGCTTTCCGCCCGCCGCCGCGCTGGCCACGCCCACTTCCGGGGTGGGGCAGCACGCGAGAAGGGCGCGCGGTGCGGCCCTTAAAAGGCAGTGGCCACGCCCCCTTACCGCCACGAGCCTGCCCTTATATGGCTATATCCACGCCCGTTAACGTATTGGCAACTCCCTTTAAATTTGCATAGCCACGCCTCTTAATTGGCTAGAGACACGCCCCTTACGGGGCAAGGGTTCTTAAAGGGGCAACGCCGCGGCGCCCTGTCCCTGGCCCCCCAAAACCCCCCCAGGACCCCC